CTCCTGTCAGTGTGTGAGAGCTGAGGGCTGTTTGGAAACTGAAACAGTATTTGCTGTGCGAGCAAGAAGACAGCAAGGAGCCTGGGTGTGGCTTAGCTCAACTGCAGTTGGAACAGGTTTCTTTTCAGGTGGGGAGGGGGAGTAGAACTTCTTAGCATCAGAGCATGTTAATAATAATATAGGAAATACTAATAGCTCTGGTGGTCATTTTGAAAAATCCTTTCTTAGTGAACACCTAGAAGCCAAAAGGAACATACGTGCCAAATTTCAAGTTTGAAGGCATTGCGGTTCTGGAGATTTTGTGATGATGCATGAGTGGTATTTCACTTTTTTATATATATAGATAGATTGGAGATCCAGGTATTTTCTAATCCGCCGCTGGCGCAGTCCAAGAATTTTTTTCCCCTTTTTGCTGTTTCCCAGTTCAAAAACTCTCTTTTGCGAAACGGCACCCCAGGCGTTTTAAGGCAATTGCCACCCTCATCACAAAATTGCACTCCCAAGAGACACACCCCCGCCGCCTTAGAAAGCACCACTGCAAGATGATTAAAATAAAAAAGTGCTTTCAGTTTTACGGTAAGTTCAACCAAGCCATTCAGGTGAGAGATCAAGGGCCCCTTTCAAGTGGTCATGCGTAAAAATAATCATAGTGAAGTATTGTTTTCCAGGCTTCGGCGGAGAAACTCCTTTAATTCTTATTTAATAACAAGGCTGGGAAATTATAGTCCGGAGCATACAAAGGGTAACAGGTTTCCACCTTGGTTAATGTTGAATGATCTTGGTTCAGCAGGGTAGTTAAATCGGTCTTGGTGATACAGGGAGTCTTCAACTTACAAACATTTGTTTAGGTCAGGGGTCTCCAACCTTGGCAACTTTAAGCCTGGTGGACTTCAACTCCCAGAATTCCCCAGCCAGCTTGCTGGCTGGGGAATTCTGGGAGTTGAAGTCCACCAGGCTTAAAGTTGCCATGGTTGGAGATCCCTGGTTCAGGTGACCATTCAAAGTTACAAAGGCACTGGAAAAAAGTGACTTATGACCGTTTTTCGCATTGACGACGGTTGCAGCATCCCCATGGTCCCCTGATCCAAATTTGAGTGCTTGGCAACCGGACTGTACAGGCAAGTCCTTGAAATAACGACCACTACGGAGCCCAACATTTCTGTTGTTAAGCGAGATATCTGTTTGGTGAATTATGCCCCATTTTACGACCTTCCTTCAGCCGTTCAGGGCATCGCTGGAGTTGATTAGGTTAGTAAGACGGTCGCTAAGTGAATCTGATTTCCCCCCCCCCATTGACTTTGCTAGTCAGAAGGTCACAAAAAGGGGACCACGTGACCCCCCCGGGACACTGCAACTGTCATAAATGCGAGTCAGTTTCCAAGCTGGAATGCTGGGATGCTGGAAATGTCGTAACTGTGAAAAACGGTCATAAGTAGCTTGCTTTCAGCGCCGCTGTAACTTTGAACAGTCACTAAGCCAACCGTTGTAAGTCGAGGACCTGTATTTATGACGGTTGCACTGCCCAGAGGTCACGTGATCGCTATCCTGGTCGGCTTCCAACAAGCCAAGTCATGGGGGGGGGGGGGAGGGACACAGAAACTGGTTCGCTTAATGACCAAGCGATTCACTTAACAACTGCAGTGGCTTGCTTCACATCTGTGGCAAGAAAGGCAAAACTCACTTAGCAACAGAAACCTCCGGCTCAAGTGGGATAGTTCAAAGACTACCTGTATTAGGCATTTAATGTGGAACTTTTTCCAAGCAAGCCAGGAACTTTGTACAAGTAAGTCCTCAAATTACTGCAGTTCATTGAGTGACCGTCCAAAGTTACAACGGCACTCAGAAAAAGTGACTTATGACCATTTTTTCACACTTACGATGGTTGCTGCAGGGTCTCCACGGTCATGTGATCGAAATTCAGGCGTTCAGCCAGTGACTTGCATTTATGACAGTGGCTGTATCCCAAGGTTTGCAACCTTCCAACAAGCAAAGTCAGTGGGGAAGTTGGATTTACTTAACCTTTTTTTTTTGAATTATTACCATCTGGCAGCCGGTACAGGATAATAATAAAAACAAGGACAAATAGGCTGAAAAACAGCTTCTATCCCAGGGCAGGAACTCTATTGAATCTACTATAGTGTAATATTAATGCAATATCAGGGGTTTTCAATTCAATGTGTGGAGTGTGAGGGTTTATTTTCATGGTCATGATGTGCACTGAAGATGGTGCTTGGTTTCATTGTACGAGGCGCAATGACAATAAAGTAAATGTAAACTAAACTAAACCATGTGGCTAGCTTAACAGGTGCAGTGATTCAACTCAACAACTGTGGCAAGGTAGGTCGTAAAATGGGGCAAAACTCACTTAACAACTGTCTCGCTTAGCAGCAGACATTTGGGGCTCTATTATGGTCTTAGGTCAAGGACTATCTTCACGCATTGTGTTGGAGGCACCCAACAATCTGGGCCGGTGATCCAGAAAGGTCCCTCATTGGGAAACTGGGGTCAAAGGAAGAATCTTTCTCTTTAAAGTCCAAATTCTCTGCCTGGATTTCCCCAAGCGGTTGATCTCCAAGCCAACAGGTCATTGTCTGAAATGGTACAGGGCACGGATCTCCAAACTTAGCAACTTTTGAGATTTGTGGACTTCAACTCCCAGAATTGCCCAGCAGCACGGCTGACTGAGGAATTCTGGGAATTGAAATCCACAGGTCTTAAAGTTGCTGAGTTTGGAGACCTTCTGGTATAGGGTCTCCTGCTTGAGCAGAGGGTTGGACTAGAAGACCTCTAAGGTCCCTTCCAACTCTGTGATTCTGACCCGTGATTATTCCCATCGCTCAATGCAGCAGATGGAAATCGCACTCCCAGCATCAAAGTACAGGTTGTCCTTGACTTCCAATCATTTATTTAGTGACCGTTCAAGATTCAGTGGCACTAAAAAAAAAAAAGTGATTTACACAATCCAGGCCTTGCACACACAAGGACTGTGGTTGCAGCTTCCCTAAGGTCACGTGACCGAAATTCAAACGCTTAGCAACCAAGCGTGTATTTATAATGGTTGCAGCATCCCAGAGTCATGTGACAAAGTCCACGGAAGCAGGGCTTGCTTAATGACCTCATGACTCGCTTAACAACTGCACTGATCTCTCTATCAACCATGGTTTAAAAAAAAAAGTCTTCAAATCCAGCACGAGTCACTTAACTGTCTTGCTTAGCGATGGAAACTCTGATTCTAATTACAGTCATAAGCCAAGGACTAATGTCCGAGATATACCGAACAACAGGAAAATCGGGGGCTTTCTCATTCTACCCATTGAATCGCCGATTTAGACCGAGGATACTAGGCCCTACTCCTACTGGCCTGATCCAATGGCCTGATCTCCAAGTAGAGGTTGGATGACCTACCCCAAAATAACAAGCAAGCAACTTAAGATGGAGTTGGAAGCAGTGGTTCAGGGCCTGGGTAAAAGAGTTAAAAAGAATAGAGCCCTCTGTTTATGATGAAATTTAAGATAAAGGAAGAAAGGGAGAAAGGGAGAAAGGGAGAAAGGGAGAAAGAAAGAAAGAAAGAAAGAAAGAAAGAAAGAAAGAAAGAAAGAAAGAAAGAAAGAAAGAAAGAAAGAAAGAAAGAAAGAAAGAAA